TGTGTGTGTGTGTGTGTGTGTGTGTGTGTGTGTGTGTGTGTGTGTGTGTGTGTGTGTGTGTGTGTATCTGTTTGTCAAAAGAGTTTAGTGTCAAGGTAGTGGAGATGTAGACGGACAGGTGCGCTGGCCGCACACAGGTGAGAGGAATTCTCTTAAGAGTGCTTCTCTTCCAGGCATCTCACAACTGTCCGTGCATGTATGAAACTAGACTTTGACCTTGAATTTGCATACACTGAAACTCCATTTAAAGCAACAGTGAATGGTGCCTACAGTTTGCCGTCACCCCATTTACTCGTCTGCTCACGGTTGATTTTAACTGACTATGTAAGCCTTCAACTGTCCCATCCTACCTCATTCTTTTCCAAGCTGCACTCTGACATGGCTTTATCTCCCTGCTCCTGGAACGTGATGATGATCAAAGCCACAAAGATGTTGACAAAGAAGAAGGGGAAGACGATGAAGTAGACTACGTAAAAGATGGAGGTTTCCATGCGGTAACCCGGACTGGGACCCTGGTCTTCATACGTGGCATCAACAGAGTGTTTCAGCACTCTAGAGAACCAACAAGAGAATGTCAGTAAGATGATCAAACATTGTCAAGATGATCATGATACGTTTTTCTCATTTTAACCCTTTGATGCATTGTGTCCACCACAGTGAACAGATCTTCAAAAGCATATAAGGTATGGTGTTAGTTCCAAAACTACTAAGGGATTCCTCGGAAACAAACTAAAAATGGTTAATGAAATTATATTTGAATATAATAATAATTAAAATTATTAAAATTAAAGTAGTCATGAAACAGAAATTGAGATTGAAATTGTATCGTCTTTTCTCCTCTTCTGTGACATATATCTGAGTGAAACAGATATATGAAACAGAGTGAAACAGTGAGACAGAACTTAATTTTGTCATTCAGGCAGTGATTTTTTAAAATAAATACTGAGAAAAGATGAAATAAGAGTAAATCTTTCATAATAAACACTTTAACATTCCATAAAAATAAAAATGGTCCATTTTAATTTCACAGTGATTTTTTTTTAATGTAACTAATTATGTAATACTTGTAATACTAATGCAACAAACAATAGATTACCACAGACCTAAACTAGTAATAAAAAAATTACACTATATAAATTTAATACATATTTAGTTTCTGTCACTTTTCTATTTAACTGTAGATTTTTATCCCTTTTGTTTTCTGTTTATTTTCTCACTGACCCTCTCTATAAAAAGGCATAAAGTCAAAAAAAAAAAAAAAAGTTAACTATTTAAAAACTTTTGAATACCAATTTAAAACATTTTCTCAAAGTAGAACGGACCAAAAGCATCATCTTAAAACCTCAAGAGAGGAAAAAAGTGTTTATATGCAATAGTTAAGATTACATCCGTGTCCACGAAAAACTCAAGAAGAAATGCGTAGATATCACAGAGTACCAGAGCAGCTCTTGAATGTTAAAGAGGGATTTAAGTTAAATGCGAAAAAAACTTTCTGGATTTTCTGCATTACATTGCAGAGTCTCTCTTAACCAAGTATGTGTTTTTCTATGAAAACGGAGTTAAAATGAAGAAAGCTGAGAATGGATAGGAACACAGATTACACCAGAGAGAGTTGAGCAAGAAGAGAAATTTAATCAGAACAGACAGAGTAAAAGGAGAAAGAGATCAGCATAAGAAAACCAACATTGAGTGTCCCTATAAGATCACTGTGTGTGTGTGTGGACTCACGTTGGCCAGCCCTCTCCTGTAGAGACAGTGAACAGGGTCAAAAAGGCCCACAGGACGTTGTCATAATGGAAATCATACTTCTTCCACTCGCGCGGCAGTGTCATGGCCAGTCCATCACTGCCAAACTCCAGGAACTGACCCCTGAGTACAGACACATCAAAACTGAACTTTGTCTTTATTTACTATTTACTTTTTCTTCCTGCTTGGATTCCTTCTTTCTTCCTTCCCACTTCCTCTCCTTTGCCTTTTTTTACCTTCTCTTTTTTTTACCATCTCTTTACTTCCTTCTGTCCTTCTTCTCCTCCCTTTCCTTCTTTCTTTGCTCTCCTTCCTTTCATCTTTCCTTCCTTCCATCCATTCCTTCACTCTTCCTTCCCTTTTATTCTTCCGTCTTTTTGTTCTCTCCGCCTTCCTATCACACTTCCATTCATTCACTTGTCATTTCCTTTCCTTTTCTCTCCATTCATTCTTTTTCTTCCCTCCCTCCCTCCCTCCTTCCATTCATCCATCATGCAGAATATATCCCGACAGTCCAGCCAGAGCACAGCTGTACCTGCAGTCCTTCTCCAGGGCTTTGGATTCATCGGTGCAGTGAAAAAATTTCCCCTTGAAAAGCTGCACAGCAATAACCGCGAAGATGAACATGAAGAGGATGTAAACGATGAGGATGTTGAGCACATTCTTCAGAGAGTTCACCACGCAGTCAAACACGGCCTGAGGACACACAAACAGCACAAATCAGATCTCCTGCAAACATCTTCTGGATGGGACGGCCTCGCTGCCACACGCAGACCGTAATGCACACCTTCGTTAAATCCATCTGTGAAGAATGTGTCATTGTGTGTTAATGTCACCAGACCCTCGTGAAAGCACACAACTTCACTAATTGTAGGCTCTGGCAAAGTCTTAATTAATTACTGCTCCTCTCGCTGTACATGACTGCACTTAGGCTGAGGATAAAACAGGAGTGGGGGGTGTGTGTAAATCTTCTAATTTTTCTGTCATTTCTGCTCATTTAATGTCCTCAGGGTATCATTATTAGCACTGAGTAGTGTATTTTTTCGGCATTAATGCTAATAAGATCTCCGTAGGCAGGATAAATGTCTCAGTGGCCCTGTGAGGATTTATCTGTGCATTAGTATTGTAATTAAACTAAACTTCAATTTTATTTTTTAGTCTATTATATGCTCTAATGCCACTGGTGACGAATCTTCAGCCAAATGAATAAATGATGGTGTGAAATGTAAGTTTAAATGTATCATTTAGCCATGTAATAAGATAACAGTGAGTGTCTCTAAACCGATTTGTTTGTGTGCCTAAGCGTGTGATTTGATTAGAGAGAAAGATGCAGCAAGGCTGTTAATGTGGAGGTCTACACAAGGGGCATCATCCCTGCCTGCAAAACGTCCACACAAACAAGCACAGTAACACACATAATGTACCTAGGGAAACACTGACACAAAAACAGACAACACTTGTTACTCTGACTTAGATTAACCAATTTAAAATGTAATTTATCTTTTACATATTTATATTAAACAGCTGTCTATCATAGGCTATATTTAGAATAGCATACTAGGCATAATTTTCATTATTCATGGATCACCTAGATGACTAAATTTGCCAGAAAAAGCAATACACAACCAGGCCGAAATGCAGAGAATACCACATCCCACAATTCATTTTGACTTGACTTTCTATTTCCATTGTGATGAATCTCCTTACTTACTAATTATTTGAACAGACTGCCAAGATTTCAACTGACTGAATGAAGAACTGATAGATCAGAACTGATAGATTTGCTATGAGTTCTAATGAATGATAATCTTTCAATGCGGTGTCTCTGATCATATGTGACCCGTGCTGGCAAAATGAGTCCGAATGAGCAAATTTTCAAAAAATAGTTATTTTTATTTTCACATTCTCCATTAAAATACCTTCAAAATGATATATGACTTGTTGGAATCAGACAAAACTGAGCTACATCCGTTTGAAGGCAGCAAAGTTGATTTGAAGAAAAATAGAGTTAAAGTTTTCTGAAGATTCCAAAGCAAAATCACCAAGCAACGTTGCGTATTTTCCTTCAATTCTTTTCTTAATAATAATTACTATATTATTAATCACAATATAGCAATTTTTTTATCTTTGTTATTAAAAAAATAAGAACAAAGATGCACAAAGATAAACAATAGTTTAATCAAGAGCAGCAAGTGATTCCGTTTTTCTCGTTTAATATTTGATTAACATTGAGACAGATTTATATAGACCTTGCACATTCCGACTCATTTTGCCAGCACGGGTCACATATAATTTTACAACTAAAACCACCTAATTCCACTTGCATGCTCTCAGAGGAGTAAGATAAGAACTAAGCAGGCTACGATCCAGACAGTAGGAATTACCTTGAGTTTAGGCAAACGTTTAATGGTCTTCAAGGGCCTCAGGACTCGAAGGACCCTTAGGGACTTGATAGTGTTGATGTCCTTGCCTTTAGTTCCTCTGTAAGGAAAAAGCAATGACTTAGAGACATTTAGAACACGCCTGCGATCACACATTTTAACAGACACTTGATACGTTTTGATGTCATCTGCCAGCACATGCACAAAGCCTGAATTCAATTCAATTACATTATAACGAGCTAATCACTTCCTCCAGCCCATCATGTAATTCAGAATTACATTAGCTAGAGGTTATTTGGTTAGTAGAAAGCATGCCTTCAAGGGGAGGTTATTCTACAGAAACTAACCTACCTCTGAGACTGATGATAAATTTCATTTAAAATGTAATATTTCTGTAAAATAACAATCATTCACCAGAAAAAGATACAAAGAAACAATCCATTCAGCAGGGATGGTCTCTTTGTAAAAACCACAGCTGGCCAAGTAATAGTCTGATGCTGGGAAGCTAAAAAAGGCAATTTTTACAACTATTGCTCTTGGAAAACTTGTCACCATGTTGCTAGGGTGTTGGTGGTGGTTGCCAGGGTGTTACGATCTGGTTTACTGCAAGTTTAAGACATTTTTCACTTGTTTTATAATCCATCAGGCAAGACCAATAATCGTAAACCAACAATGAAGTTTAATACTTTTTTGTAGTTGAAATCCCTAACCTTGAGTATAAACTAATCAGTATAAATTCATAACAGTGATGCCTGCCTTAGAAGGAAACACTAATAAAGTGAACTGAAAAGAAAAGAAATCCTATTAAAGTTTGAATAATCAATGTCGCTTTGTTGTTCGAGTTCCATACAGTTTAACTTTTTCAGGATTGACTTGAAGTTAAATGAAGTCACTGAAGACAGGTAACATCAATGACACACTGAATGATTAGTTTTCTGAATGTTACAGCTGCTGTAAGGCAGGTTCACAATGAATGGCATTTGAAATTACATAGCTCAACAGAATGGAACTCATCTGAAAAGATAAGAAAAGGCTGTTTTAAAACTCTTTTACGCTAAACTTTAGCAGGCATGTCGATGAACAAGAACGACCTCCATTTCAACCTTGTTTAATCCAAAAAAGTGGTCATTTCTGACCGGTGAGATATTTCCTTGACAGTTGAAATTGGCTGTCATAGATGATCTATCAAGATAAGCTTTTTCTGTGTCTGTGTGTCTTAAAAACATTCATTATTTAAAATACAAAACTTCAAATGCTTGGCATGGCGAATAAGCATACTGAGTGAGTACACGTCCTGATACTAAAGAAAATGCCAGGTTTAGGGAGTCATAGCTTAGCTCTGTGATTTGTCTGCTTACTTTTTCTATCCCATGAGGAGTTGAGATTCTAGTACACTGGCATGCAATGACCATGCAATGTCTGTCAGTCTCACAGCACACCCCAGGGGTGCATGTGGATCTCTGCCCAATGAGACAGTCAACTATACCCCCAAAGATTTCAGAGGACCATCTGTCTCCAGGCACCCATCACACAGGTCCAGTGCTTAAGTGGTTCTGCCTAATGTTTGTGACAGGATAAAGCCACCTGATGCACCCTGATACAAGGGTCAAGCACATATCCAGGTCAAATTTAAGCCCAAAGAAAACACAAGATTCATAATAGAACTTTCATGTTCTGTGAAGCTGCTTTGCAACAATGTACATTGTGAAAAGCATTATTGAAATAAACATGAATTGAATTGAAAAAGAAATTATATAAAAATTAAGATTATAATTGGCATTGTTTTTGTGATAATTAAGCAAATGTTTACCAAATATTTTATTAATTAATAGGGGAATGTTTTGTGGTAATATTATTTTTTAATTTGTATTGCTTGATTAATTTGTGGAAATTGTGGAATTTTTTAACCCTTTAACTGTCACCCCCCATTTTTTTAAAATAGGCATGCAGGTGCACTATCCAACGATTTCGAAATGGTTTTCACAGGATGAATCTTGGGCTTCTAAGCTTTCAAATGATATATGATTTATGATGATTACTAAAAGATTTGATAGAGAAAAAAGACAACAAAAAAAAGAGCGCCAAACGTCCCACAGGTGGGACGGTGACAGTTAAGGGGTTTTAATCATCAAATTATCTAAAATTCAGTAAAACAAATACTTTTCAGAACAACAAATACTTTAATGATTTATATTTCATAATGTATTTTGCAATCAATCAATCATCTATCTATCTATCTATCTATCTATCTATCTATCTATCTATCTATCTATCACAACAAGCAGTTTACTTATGCAGAACTTCTGATATCCGATATGCAGATGTTTTTTTTTATCAATGACTATAATTTAATAGCAATTAACAGTAGTAATTCAGCTTTTGTTTGACTGTTAGCATAAAGGGTGGATGTCCTCTGTAAACGGTAGGAGTAGTAGTTTCTATAAGCCCTTGCAAAGGTCAAAGGTCAAGTCATTGGGTAAAAGTAGGTCCATCCTCTTCTACAAAGGCTGAATGAGCAGAAGAGTTGAAGGGTTGTGAGTTTGGAGTGGTCCGTGGGGAGGTTGGGGGGGGTAACGTGTATGTTTTTATAGATATATAGACTGTCCCCACCTGGTCACGCTTTGCTGCGATCTGACGAGGGAAACCGATGAAAAACCATTCACATGTACACAAACATAGAAACACACACATAATAAGCCACGTCACAGACATAGAATAAGCAGTAAATGCAGATTAAATGAGATCAGAACGGAAGAGAGCGGTCACTGAGTGGAAACACTGTGGAAGGATGAACAGCAAAGAAAGATTAAAAAGCATCAAAGCAACTCCAACGCACAATAAAACATTACAATAATCAAAAACATGATGCAGTGAGGGATTATTAGTTACTGTTTGTTTGTAACATCTCTGCAAGATAAATCACTTTGAGCAGTAAATATAGAGACGTCGCAACATGGAACTGTGATAAAAATAACAAAAGTGAAAAGGTTACAGACTGGCAAATGTCACACACAAACACACACACACACACTAAAAGAAAGTACATGCATGAAGGTTCATGCAAGTCCTGGTGATAGATGCTGATTGTGTACAGCAAGTAAAATAGATTTAATTCTTACAAAGGTAAAAATAAAAGGTGTATAAAGCCCCGTTCACACTGCCAGCGACACACAGCATTTATATGATTTTACTGTAACCACATACATGGATATAAAAAAACATGATGCGTAGAAAAGAAACTGTTGGCTGTTTAAGTGAGTTTGATGCATACATTGATGGTTCGAGCTGTTATTTATATGATGCAGTGAGCAGTTTAGCTCCGGTTAATGATTTAATGCACGGGCACTGCTGTAGTTTATATAACAACACTCTCCAACAGCAGAATGGTACTTTTATTTCTTTTAAGTCTAAATCCTAGTCATAATAGGATGATATCTTAGTTTTACCGGCAATATACAGTTTGTGATTGCATTTTATATGTCCAGACGTGCAGTCTACCAATAACATTAGAGCTACAGCAGTAGGAACGCCCACAAGCGTCTTCACAGCACGGAGTCTAGCGACATACAGCGAAAAAGTCTCTGGCAGTGTGAACGGGGCTTAAGTCATAACTATCTTTTCCTTAGTAGACAGCTGGTATGCATTTTATCTTACAGCAGTGAGTGTCATTCTGTCTTTCTTACAATTACATTTAAAATATGCATTACATTGGGCTTCCTTATGAATACAGATTAAATAATGAACAATTGGCAAGTAGTTTATTTACTTGCTGACGTGTATTAAGTTTGAGAATTCATGCCCAATCGTGGTCTGCAGTAGTGCAGTTTCACAAATCTTGTGAATGTGTTGCACTGGTCTAGATTTTATTTTATATATAATAAATATTTTACATATCAGGTTTTACTCTAAAATTGGTATAAAATTATAGCCTTATGTCTAAATAAGTTATGTTCCAAATTTGAAGTTGATATGAAAAAAATTGAGGTTCCTGTGAAATTTTATTTAGGGCGTTATACCACAAACAGCCACTGGGTGCCATCCAAACTCCATTGAATTTTTTGTCATTCTGTCTTTCTTACAATTACATTTAAAATATGCATTACATTGGGCTTCCTTATGAATACAGATTAAATAATGAACAATTGGCAAGTAGTTTATTTACTTGCTGACGTGTATTAAGTTTGAGAATTCATGCCCAATCGTGGTCTGCAGTAGTGCAGTTTCACAAATCTTGTGAATGTGTTGCACTGGTCTAGCGATTCCTTATCCACACAAACACACACTCATGCTCAGGCAGATACACAGGAAGCAGGTAATAACAAATGCGTACCCCATGAAGCTCCTGAAAGCAACGCAAGCGAGAGGGAAGGACAGGGCATATAAAGAAAGTGAGAGAGAGAGAGAGAGAGAGAGAGAGAGAGAGAGAAAGAAAAGAAAGACGGATGGAGAAAGAAAAAACTAAATGAGAAACATTAAAGCCCACAGGCCACAAGCTTGCTATCAACCACTGAAGAACAGCACAGGAGAGAGAAGATACAGCACAGTTAAAGAGAGACAAACACAAGTGAATCAGAAAGAGCAGAACACAGTATGAGATACATTTATAATCAATATTACACACTGCATATATAAAATTGAAACAAAGTCTCAAAAGTGTCCGTAGCTGAACAAATGCCTAGATATGCTGTAGTGCCACCGTCGGAAGCACAGGTGCCAACCGGAGCTGATGGACAATTTCTGTGCTACTGAATAATACAGCTGCAAACTCACACAAGAACGGCTGGTCTCAAAAGCCGAGCAGTTTTCTATCACCTCTTTTTCAGCTATTTTAAAGCACCCCATGGTCCTTCAATCAACTGTAGAGGTGGAGAGAGACAGCTGAGCATCTGCACATGACAACTAAGAGGATTCAGCCACACTCAAACTAGACCTTGCATTTATTAGACAAATCACACACGCGCTGTCAAACCGAGCATGTGCATTTATGTTTGCCTTGCAGAGGAAATTGTATCCACCGGGCTTTATAAAATACATTATTGTTGTGGGTGGTTGCAAGGGCATTGCTATGAAGGAATTTACTTTTTGGCTCAAGCACCCAAGACTCTAAAATATTCTGGTCTCTCGATATGGCTCAGGTCCCTACTTGAAACATTTTCAAAATGAAACTTTGCTGAAAATGTACTCACACTCAGACCATCCAACATGTAGTTTGTTTCTTCTTCAGATCAGATTTGGGTAAATCACTTGTTCACCAATGGATCCTCTGCGGTAAATGGGTGCCGTCAGAATGAAAGTCCAAACAGCTGATAAAAAAATCACAATAATTTGGCTTCTGGCCAAACTACCAGTCCATAATCCATAATAATGCTTCCTTCAGTGAAAAGTTCCATCCCCTGTTGTCCTTTCACATCAAAAGCCATGTTTATATTTGTTTTGAACTGTTGTAAACAGTGCTTAGTCTGTGCATATTTCTCTCCTGATTCAGACAAAATGACTTTTTCCATTGGAGAATGCAATATTATGGACAGATGACTAGAATTTTAGCTGGAAACTATGGTTTCAAGTTAAATGTGTCTTGATGGATTTATTTTTCACTTCATGTGGCATTAACTGATGTCATGTGGATTACTTGTGGATTATTGTGATGTTCTTATCAGCTGTTTGGACTCTCATTCTGATGGCACCCATTCACTGCAGAGGACCACTGGTGAGCAAGTGAGGTAATGTTCAATTTATCCAAATCTAAATCTTGAGGGCGAGTAAACTTTAAGCAAATTTTCATTTTTAAATTAAAAATAAACTATTTTATTTATATGTGAGTGGATTTTATTGTTGTTTTATCACCCATCAGTTGAAAATCATGAATTAATTCAACTAGAAGAGTAACAGAACATTTAGGAAATCATTACTAATTATCATGGGTGGATCAGGAACAATAAGAATTAAAAGCAAACTGCTGGGAAATGTGTCTTCTCTGCAACTGTCTGGCTCAGCTCCTGTGGGAAATACTAAACCCGAATCATTAGCACAGGTGTGCATGCTATACACAATCCTATTATGAGCTTAAAAAAACAGATGCACGTTAAACCGTTCAGTTCCGAAGACCAAACTACACACAGATGCCACACTTCCCCTCATCATAGAGCTCCATCTCAGATACTAAACAGCAAACAGTCACATCCTGTTTCCGTCATTTTCGACTGAATGCTCTCTTGCTGGATTTGAACTGACAGTCTGCTCTTCTGACCGCTCTGTCTGCTCCACTCTGACAGAATAACAAAAAAAGTCACTCACGAGCAGGCGAAGGCCACCAGAGCACCGGTGACCACGATGAAGTCCAGTATGTTCCACGGGTCCCTGAAGTAAGACCCAGGATGCAACAGTAGCCCGAGATCGATCATCTAGATGGGAGATGAAAAAAGTGGTAAACAAACATGTATTAATTCTATTGAGCAAGGATGCATTAAACTGATCAAAAGTAACATTCATGATGTTACAAAATGCTATATTTCAAAATATGATGTTCTTTTGAACTTTCTAATCAATAAAGAATCCTGGAAAATAAGTATTAACAAAAACATTAAGCAGCACAATGTTTTCAAGTTCAAGTTTAAGTTCAGGTTTTTAAATGTAATAAACTGATTGAAAATTTAAATCCAAATGATTTAATATTGCACAGTTCTAAAAATAGATGAAAGGTGATTTTATTTACCTTTATAACCATCTCAAACGTGAACACACCAGTGAAGACGTAATCTAGATATTTCAGCACCTGAGCCAACCACAAGAAATAAGCAGTTATGTTTTTTTGTATTTCTGCAGTCCCACAGACCGTCTGAGCAAATGAAAGTGGATGATGCCATAAATAATATAAAAATCTCAGCATAAACCATAGTGTTTGGCCCCACTGCAGCTATGATTCAGCAAGTAATCCAATAATCTCCAAAACAGAACAGACATGATGTACATTGTATTTTTTGAGAGACAAAAATAGATGTTTCAAATAAATACTCAAGTTTTTTTTCTCCCTTTCATTCCTCCCACATGAGCAGCTGGGAAATATTGGGTGTAAGCAGCGATTCATTGGACAAGCCGATCAGGCGCAGTGAATCAATTGGAAGGAAAAGACAGTGGACTATGGATTCTTGCAGACATGTTTACACGTAATTCTCTGTAATTCAGAGAACAAGGTTTAATAAGCTACGCTTATGGGCTAATGCGGTGGCACTGGGCACTTAACGGGCTCACGGGCTGTCCCGAAATAAAAAATATGGTGCAAAAGCCAGTCAGTGTGCCTAGTGACAACCCTCAGTGTGACAGTTCAGACAAGGGCTGCCATACTGCCCTACAGGACTGTTCTTGAGTTATGTAAACACCACTGATGTCATAACCCCAGCTTACAGTGAAAGACAGTGACAACGAGATCAGTGTTTGCGGGATTTTATAGATAACATTGAATAATTTTTTTTATTTTGACAAAAATTGTATAACTTATATAAAAATATTATATACAAAAAATATATATTGGCTTTTTCAGATTTGGAAACTTTTCTAAATTTTCCAGGTAGGTCTGTGTGTCTTACATCATTGCGCGGGGCATTGGCCTGCACAGGGTCTTCAGCAGCGAGGGCGATGCTGCTCATGGTGATGACTGTGAGGATACACATCTCAAAATATCGTAGGTTCACCACATAATGACACAGCCGTCTCACTCTATGGAGACAACATGAAGAAACAACACTTAATTCACAATATTTAGCATGTACTGTACATTACAACTAAACGAAAATTCAATTTAAAGCAAGTAATTTATGTGATACATATTTAAAATCTCTTCTCAAGAGTTTTCTGTAACATAATAATTGGGGTTTAACTCACGGGTTAGTTGGACCGAACACAAACATGGAGCTGTATGGCAGAATGTGTTTGGGCGCATTCTGATTTAGCTCATCAAGATCCTTCTTTTCCTCGTTCAGCAGTAGACTGTCACCATCAATGTTGCTCACTGTCAAAAAGATGATCATTAGAGCAAAGATGAGGAGAGAATGTCACATTAATGTCAAATAAATATTCAATTCTGCCTTTGTTTAAGTGGTGCTGATTATGTAGTTAGTAGATAATACTTAAAGGGATAATGCAACCAAAAATGAATATTCTGTCATCATGTATTTACCCTCATGTCAATCAAAACACCTTTTCCAACGTGGAACATACAAGGAGTAATTTAGCATAATGCCTAAGCTGCTGTTATGTTGAACTTATTTTATTTATTTATTTTTATTAGGGTTGCATGGAACACTTTTACGGTATGTTTGCATCCACTGGTGACAGCTTGGACATAAACAAAATGTATACATTCAAAATACGCTATATATGATTCATTATTTAAAAAAATCATTAGTCGAATTATTAAATTGATTTGTTATTTTTGGCACAATGTGCTCATATTATTCAAGCAGGAGATGAAAGAATACTTACTGGGAATGACTGTAGTCTCTCCTGGTGGGGCAGTTATGGTGACAGGGATGTTGACTCCAGTTGGGCCCACTCTGGTGCTGTTTTTTAGATTATCTTTGTCTTCTGGCTTCTCTTCAGTTGGAGACTGGAGAGGGCTGGTGGCTAGGCTGTCTGTTCCTGTTGGTCTGCCCCTGTAATATAAAAAAACTATTAATCTGAATGAAAATATATATATACAACATACATACACAATACAGTATATCTCAAAGTGCTGCCTAATGCTTTGTGAAGTACATGCAGATCAAAGCAACAATGAAATTGTAAAAAAAAAAAAAAAAAGTCATGTCTGATCATGCACTCAACGTCAGTCTATTCCGGATGTACGTGGCTTCAAAATGTCTCACATAAAATTATGAATGACAGTGCATTATAAAACAAAACATCAAAGTAATATCACTTATATTAACGAAAAACAGACTTTTCAAGCAACACATTAAAAGATGTTTGAAAGATTGTAAATTCTAAAGCAACAGACATACTGTTTAAAATGAAGAAAAAATTTATTTGGACACTTTGTGGTTATCAAACATTAGTGGAACATTTTCAGAGCTCATGTGACAAACTATACTGTTGGTTACTCTGTTAAGGCTGTGTGAACTTGAGGAGATCTGACTTCATAAATGCACTAAAAATCACCTTGGAACAAGCTGTTTAAAAGACATGCAAACATTTTCATAATTGTGAAGTTTTGAGAAAAGCTCTCAAATAATTTGTTTGCATCTGCCACTTGGTTTAATATTTTGTTATCTAAATGCAATTTTTAAGTATGGATTAAATGGATAGTCCAAAAAAAAATCATTCATTATTTATTCACTCTTCATGTCATTCGTATGACTTTCTTTGTTCTGTGAAACATATTTCAAAGAATGTTGGAAACCAAAAAATTTTTCAAACAATTCAAACAGGAACTGAAAGTATTTGGTTACCAGCATTCTTCAAAATATCTTTGTGTTTTGCACAAGAAAAAAATGCATACAGGTTTTAAATGACATCGGGGTGAGTAAATTATGCCAGAATTTTTATTTTTGGGTGGACTATCCCTTTATGTGTCCAAATAGTATTTGGAGCCACCATGCAGTCTGAGAACGTACCTGTGTTTGCCACCGTTCTCCCTGCATTCTTCTCCATCCAGTGTGGACTGGGCTTTAACACGTGGCCGGTGTCTTCTCCTCTCTCCATTCTCTCCTTCGCCCTTTCTGTGACCTCGTATCCTACCCTCACCTCTGCCTCCATTACCGATCGTGCCGTTGCCATTCCCGTTAACCTCTCTGGATCGGCGAGAATGGTGGTGTCTATGTTCTCTCTCCTCCATCCCTATGCCCTCCTCAGGAGAACCAGCCATGTGGCGGTTAGTGTGTCCTCCATCCTGATTGCTGCTGTGATCCAGGCCGCCCTGGTGCTCTCTGTTTCGGCTGTGGTGTCTATGGTGCCTCCCCTCTCCTGCATCTCCGTTCTCTCCTCGACATCGATGGTGCTTCTTTGGGTGGCCGGAGGAAGGCTGACAGTCTGGAGTGTCTCCATCTCTGTCAGTCCTAGAATTGTCCACAGTATCATCTCGGTGCTCCACTACCAGCGGCCGATCGTGGTGGGCCTTCATGTCGGGCCGCAGATGGAGCGCCGAAGACACGCGCAGACGCTCTTCAGGCTCTAGTTCGTTGTAAAGGGCCTCGCTGCTGTTGCGCAGGTTGTGTCTGCGCAGCTGGTTGGTGCGCTGCTCCCATATGGACATCTTCTGCAGTGACCTCTGCTGCTCTTTACTGAAGGACGGAAGAACATTCACCTGAATTACACACATCAATATGCATTTACTCCGATAACACCCACATCCATGAGCCCACCACTGCTGACCACTCAAAATCACAATGAACATGGTTAAAGGGATAGTACACCCAAAGAAAAGAAAATTCTGTCATGATTTACTCTACTCATGTCGTTCCAAACCTGACTGACTTTCTTTCTTCTGAAGAATTTTGATGACCAGACAAATTCCTCAAAATAATACTTCCCATTGACATCCACTCTATTTTTTGTCTTTACAATGGAAGGCAAGAGCAACTGAAACTGTTTGGTGACCAACGTTCTTTAAAGGGGTCATATGATGCGATTTCAAGTTTTCCTTTAATTCTGACTTTGCTATGACAATCTGGCGCTTCTGAATCAGCTACTGTTTTGTTATTAGTTTAAGTATTTGCTATTGACTGTTCAAATGCGGAGTTTTGCGCAGTGCAGAGTAACGCGTCGTATGTGTGTTATGTTCTCATACAAGTGTTGTTTGATAACGCATTGAGTTAGTTTTCAGTGATGCATCGAGTTTGATTGTGCCGAAAGCATTCTGTCATGCCTGACCAATGTATGTTTTCGTTTACTGGGGTCTGAAACAGAGAGGTTAAGTAAAAAGATACGATAAGTTGATGTTACTCGCTGTGTCAGTGTGATCCGTATCAAACGCAACACTCTTCAGTCTTACCTGTGAAAGATAATACCCCGAGATCTATTTTTATTATTATGCGACGTTTTGTAGATGCCCAAGCTGCCGACGAGTCAGGTATGTTTTCGCCTGTCCCGATATCATCACTGTGTCTGTCACGCGACTCTGTTGCCCTTTCGGGCTTGAACTGATGGTAAAACTAACTGTCTTGATATTTACTTTGAAATCTGAAGCTATGATTATGGTAAGGGGCGTTACATTTCCGACGCGTGCTTGTGGTGTTCGGCCAATCACAATGCACTGGGTCAGCTGGCCAACCAGAGCAGACTGCGCTTGTCAAAGGAGGGGGCTTTGTTGAAAACAATGTGTTTGAGAGAGGCGGGGCATAGAGGACCTACAATAATGTACAGTATTTGAAAAATAATGTGTTTTTTGAACATTAAAGCATGTCAACATATTCTGTTACACCAAATAATTATCTTTAAAATAGCATCATATGACCCCTTTAAAATGTCTTTTGTGTGTGTGTGTGTGTGTGTGTTTGTGTGTGTGTGTGTGTTTCACAGATAAAAGAAAGTCACAGGTTTGGAATGAATAAATAACTGAATTTTCAATTTGGGGTGGATTTTCCCTTTAATCTTCTTGATATCATTAGAGTTTGACATTAGATGAGAAGATTATTAGAAGTAAAAGAGTAAATATAAGAAAAGAATTACTAGTTTTACATGTAAAGAGCCCAGCCAATCAAAACAAAGGTAATTTAAAGGTCTTAAATTGAACTAATACTTGCTGCCTTGGCAGTTTTAAAAATTATAGAAATATTAAAATAAAAACCAATATAAATGACAAAAGAACAAAATAAACTTACTAAAACTTAAATATAAAAATGTCAAAAAAAAAAAATGAAATAATGAAAAAATGTAAAAATTACTTCAAAGTTTTAAATACATACTATTATAGTAATAGTAAATTATTAAAACAGTATACCGAAAAAAATGTAAATCAAAGTATAGTTTTTTTTTTACATCTTAAAGGAACAAGTCATTAATTCTTAAAGGTACAGTAGACCAACAATTAGCTACTCTGGTCTTCAAAGGAACAAAACAATAAACAAAAATGGCTAAACTAAACTTTGTGAGTTAGCCTACTTTAAAAGGAAAGTTCACCCAAAATGAAAGTGCTATTACATATTTATTCACCTTTGTGTTGCTCTAAACCTGTATGACTTTATTTATTCTGTGGAATACATATGAGAAATTCTTACTGGTCACTCTTTTCTGTGCTATTATAATAAGTGAGGACTGAAGTTTCATTCAATGCAAAAACATCATAAAAGCTATCCATATGACTAATGTACTATATTTTAATCATTCAAAAAGGTTTGAAACACTGTGAGAGTGAGTAAATGACAATTACTTTTGGGTGAGCTACACTCTTAACAACATCGGGCTCTCAAGCATTCGAGTAGAACAGTGGTTGGCACAGATGTTTTTCTATATGCAGTTTCAGTATAATCTGTATGTCATGCTCTATGACTCATGCATTTCACTTATGTCTAACAGCAAATGCTGTTTCATTGTTAAGAGGGGACAGAGAGCATCATGGGACTACAGGGACTCAGAAGCCCTAATGATGCACTAATAGCATGTACTAATGATAAAAACCACTAAAATCGAACAAAAATAACAAAAGCATCCTGAGCTGTGTCACTATACCTCACAAAGCGACAACATGGAGTGTAGACATAACTCCTTAGAGACACATTCAGGGTCGCACAACACAAAAACGACAAACATGTTAAAGACAAACAAGGATATTATATGAAAAGAGGTCAAGAAAGAAGGAAAGAACAACTTGAGAGAAAGGAAAATGTAACAGACAAACAACATGAACCTGCAGATTTTAATATACTTTCAATGCACCAAATTATTATGCTGTTTCTTGATGAAAAAGTGCCATTCTGTTCCTTGCATGCACAAACACACACACACACACACACACACAAAGACCAAACCCACACACTACAAAGGCCGTTGATCTAAATAGTCAGTGAAGCTTGCAGACAGCACACCCAGACTGCTCTGTTTAGCTTGGCCTTCATTCATATTGGAAACGTTATCCGCTATCAAAAGGATAAAATCAAAGTGTCGGAGTGATATAATACATCTATCTAAGGACAAAGGGAGACCACTTAAACGACCTACAAATAATGTAAAATTATTAATCTCATCTGTGTGTATAGATTAAAATAATTAATCTATCTATCTATCTATCTATCTATCTATTAGGGATGCGCTGATCTGACATTCATATCGGGTATCGGCTCCGATAGTGCCATTTTTCTCTGAAATCCGAGATTTTATTTTTTTTTGATTGTGCGAATTATTCTGTGTTACTTCTGAAGCCATACGATAGCTTAATGTGAGCTACATATGAATATTTAAGTCCTTACATTAAAGTTCACACAAACTCTTTTCTCTGCTGTGGCTGTCAGTCATTCGTTCAGCCTTTAAACCCTGGTCGCGTTCGGTTACAGCAGTCAGCTC